GCGTGCTCCGCCTCACGTCCCACCTCCAGGAGAACAACATGATCGTGTACGTGGAAAAGAAGGTGCTGGAAGACCCTGCCATAGCTTGCGATGACAACTTCGGGCCTGTGAAGAAGAAGTTCTGCACTTTCCGGGAAGGTGTGCTGCAGCCCCTCCCCCGCCGTCCCCTTGCTGTCTGCTCTGGGCACGTGGGTACCCAGAGGCTCTGACCACTGCTGCTTGGTTCTGTCTGCTTCCAGATTATGACGACATTTCCAACCAGATTGACTTCATCATCTGCCTGGGGGGAGACGGGACCCTGCTTTACGCCTCGTCGCTCTTCCAGGTGAGCTGGGTGTGGGTGCAGGCCCCGGGTGAGAGCTCCTGGCCCAGGGTAGCGAGCTGCTCTGCCTGCCTACCCTGGGGAGACCAGTGTTCTCCAGGCCATTGTTAGCAACAGTGCAAGCCGCACAGCTGCTGCCGCCTGGTACTCGGCAAGGCCGGGGCCTGGGACTGCCTAGCCCGGCTGGCAGGAAGGGACGTTGGTGGGAGATAATGCCCAGGGCGGCTGCAGGTCCAGATGGGACAGCCTTAGGGACAGCTGGTGTGGCCAGGGCATCAGGGCAGCTAGGGGGGTGTGGTGCAAGGAGGCCAGGGGCCAACTAGAGCCCTTGGGCCTCACCCCATGCAAGGCAGGACCCAGCCCTCGGGCAGCCTCCTTCAGGCGAGGAGGCCTGTGGAGAGCAGCTGGACGTGGGCAGGGCAGCCTCCTGGACGCCAATGAGGAGCCCAGAAACTTGCTGGGGATGAGAGTAAGGGGCACAGAGTGGCCTGGGACAGAAGGGAGTGGTCCCATCCTACATCAGAGTGGGCCTCTCGAGGGCCACAGGCTGCCCTGTTGTGGGGACGGTGGCTTCTGCTCACCCCATTATGTGTAGGGCTGTCAAAACGACCCCACGCTGCCCTGCCGCCACCCCAGAGCTGCCAGGTCTCCTCACCCTCCAGAGCCTGTGGGGCCTGGTCTCCCATGTCAGAGCCCTGTGGCCAGCACCGCCCACTTCTTTCCCGTTCTGTGACCAGAGAGCTGCTGGGTCTTGTTTTTCTTATCAGCATTCCCAGCCACCAGGGCCAGCGGTGACCGCTCCCTGGAAGACTGCCCATGTGTCTCGGGACCACTTACTCCCCTGAGCCCCCCACATCCAGGCCCCCCCCCCGACCACCCCCACTTCCACAGCTGCCCTGCAGCTACACTGTGCTGTCTTTGGAGTGCAGGCGGCCTGGGGACAGGGCTGAGTCCCCAGGGCCTGGCCATCTGCTGCAGGGCTGTGTCTCTGGTGCAGGCTGGACTCAGCGCCCACCTTCCTCTCCACAGGGCAGTGTGCCTCCAGTCATGGCCTTCCACCTGGGCTCCCTGGGCTTCCTGACTCCCTTCAACTTTGAGAACTTTCAGTCCCAAGTGACTCAGGTGATAGAAGGTGAGGCGAGGTGGCCTGGGGCTGGGGACGCCCGCTGGCCGCTTGCTTTTTTTTCCCTTTTGCCCTTTTTGCCACCCTGCTGAGCACCACTGAGAGTCCCTGGCCCCGGGCCGCCTCAGGGACTCACGGGCTGGAGTGCTGGGCTCCTCCGCAGAGGGGTCTGGCTCCACCAAGGCTCTGAAGGGCCACTTGCCTGGGGGCAGAAAGGGAGGGTCTGTGCGCCCTCGGGTGGACCCCGACTCCCTGGGCAGGGCCCTGCTGACCCCACTGGCCCCCAGGGAATGCAGCTATTGTTCTTCGGAGCCGGCTGAAGGTCAGGGTGGTGAAGGAGCTCAGAGGCAAGAGGATGACCGTCCACAATGGACTCAGTGAAAATGGCCTGCCAGCTCCAGGCCTGGACCCCGAGGTTGGGAAGCAGGCCATGCAGTATCAGGTCTGTGGATGCCCCTGCTGCTCTGGTCTTGTCCTTCCTGTCCTGTGGTCTGGGGGAGTGGCCGGGGATGATTGAGGCTGGACTTCAGGATGCAGGCCCCAGTGGTGCGCTGCAACCCAGGCCCTGCCACCCTTCTTGAGTGCAGTGGCCCCACTGTCCCCTCCAGGTCTTGAACGAAGTCGTGATTGACAGAGGCCCCTCCTCATACCTGTCCAACGTGGACGTCTACCTGGACGGACACCTCATCACCACAGTGCAGGGCGATGGTAAGGCTGCGCGCCCCCTGCGTCCTGAGGAGCTGTGAGGCTGGACAGCAAACCCGCACCCTGTCCCTGCAGGAGTCATCGTGTCCACCCCGACCGGCAGCACAGCGTACGCAGCGGCAGCGGGAGCCTCCATGATCCACCCCAATGTGCCGGCTATCATGCTCACACCCATCTGCCCACACTCACTGTCCTTCCGGCCCATCGTGGTCCCTGCAGGAGTTGAGCTGAAGGTCAGGGCCAGCACCCCTCTGCCCCTGGTATACCAGCTGCCTCTATAGCCTTGCGCCCCCCCCCCCCCCCCCCCCGCGCAGTGCTGACCATGGAGCTGACATGAGGCCATGGCCTCAGGATCCAGGCTGGCTGGTGCCCCTTGGGAGGCCAGTCCCACCTGGCTGGGGCTCAGATGGGCCTGAGAGACCTGGGCCTCAGGGGAGAGGGCCCACACCTGTCCCTGTCTCTGTCCCTGGCAGCAGGGAGAGTGGGCCGGCCTCCCACGGGGCACCCAGCTGCATTGGGAAGGGCCCCGTTGAGTGGGGGTGGCCAAAGTAGCTCTGGGTGAGGAAAGACCCTGCTAGGAGTCCCTACCACAGGTCCCTGCCTGGCCTTTGGCCTCCTGGTCCCCAGCCCCAGACATCCATGAGGTGCCTGGTGGCAGAGAGGGTATGTCTGCAGGAGGCCCTGGAGCTCACGGCCAGGCCGACGCTTGTCCCTTCTCAACCTCTTCAGATCATGCTGTCACCAGAAGCTAGGAACACTGCATGGGTATCCTTGGACGGACGGAAGCGGCAGGAGATCCGCCACGGAGACAGGTGTGTGGGGGCTGGGGCCTGACTGCCCGGGGCCTGTGGCAGGGTGGCCACATGGTGCAGCAGAGGGCCTTCAGCAAGTCTGGGCGTCCCTCCGCACAGCCATGGTGACCACCCACCACTGCTGAACCTAGGGTGACAAGTCCACAGCTAAACCATCTCAGGCAGCCGCTGGGTCCTCCAGGGCATCTTGCCCCTCAGGCCACCTCCTGGGTGGGCTGTCCAGCATGGGGAGGCCCGTCAGCCAGGACTGGGACAGGCCAGGAGGCTGGTGAGGGTCTGCCCCCCCTCTCTTGGGTGCTAGGCCCAGTGCTGCTGGAGTGGGTGGGCTCACTGTGGGCACAAGGCCCCGGGCTGCTGGAGTGGGCGGGGCTCACCGTGCACCTACCCCGGGCAGCATCACCATCACCACCTCCCGCTACCCGCTGCCCTCCATCTGTGTGCGAGACCCGGTGAGCGACTGGTTCGAGAGCCTGGCCCAGTGTCTGCACTGGAACGTGAGGAAGAAGCAAGCCCACTTTGCAGAGGATGAAGAGGACGGGGAAGACAGCTAGCAGCACCGGGCAGTGCCCGGCCTCGCTGTCCCACCACATCCCACCGAGTCCCACCTGCGCCTGCAGCAGGGGAGCCCGGTCTGCCTTTTGCCGACCAGATCAGCTTTTTACCTTTTCTAATCTGACTCTTTTTCATTTCTAAAGTACAGTGAGAGCCGTGCTGGGCGCCCTGCAGCCCCCAGCAAGGCTCTTGCGATTCCAGATCGGGGACTTTCCATAAATCAGTCTTGAAATTCAGAGGGTTGGAGAGGATTGATCTGTCCTTCCGTGTTGAAATAAATGCCTCAGCGCAGAGTCTCCTTCAGGTGCAATGCTTCTCCCCTCCGCCCTGTGCTTCTGGGGCTCAGGGGCACCAAGGGCTCTGCTGTCCTGCCTTCTGGGGTGGCCACACGCCCCCCAGGGTCCGCTCTGAACCTCCTGCAGCAGGGCGGCTGCGGCAGCTCCCGGAAGGTGTTTTCACCCTGTATGTACTTTCTAGAGACTCTTCTGAACTTTCTCAAGTGCTTATGTACATATTTTCTTGTACACACTTTTGTGTAGATTTAGAGGGGGACCGTCCTGTAGTCCAGTGTTTACATTGTGTCCAGCCCCGCGCTAATGGTCCAGGGTCCAGGAGAGGAGCCACTACTTCTCAGGGTGGGGCCCCCTGTTTTGAGGCCATGGTGAGGGTTCTGAGACGATCTGCTCATGCGGGGACAGCGAGGCCTGTTGGGAGCAGAGCAGGAGCGGAGCCCGGGGCCCTGGGCCGTGCCAAGGTGTCGGGGGCTCGTGTCTCGAGGCTCCAGCTCCCCTTCACCTGTTGACTGGCCAGAGCCGGAGGCGGTGCCTTCCTCAATGGGGCTTCCAAGGGAAGGTGCCCGTCCTGCCGCAGGCGGCCTCGCAGGCCTCGCTCGCGTTGGGCAGAAGGGCCTCCGTGCCTGCTGGAGCACAAGCCCCTCGTCCGCGTGTCCCTTACCTCCTACTCCTCCACCCGGGAACCTGGTATGGCCTGGGCAGGGGACCACGAGCCAGGGTGGGGCTGGGGGCCCCAGGGAGGCAGCCCACTGGTGGAGCTCACCACCCAGCGTGGGCTGGTCTGCAGCCGCCTGTGGCCAGCGAGCGCGCTGGGGAGTTGTGAAGCGGAGTCGCGTCGTCTCCTGTTGTCGGTGTCTTGACACGTGTTCCTTGCTGAAGGCCTTACTACTGTTTTCAAATCCTTTCAATAAACAGACTTGTTTAAAACCGCTGGGCTGAGCAACAGCCTCTCTTTGGCTTTTGGCAACCAGTTAAGGACTCTGGGACATCTCCCTGGCAGGTAGGGCCCCACACACACACCCCGTCAGCCCTATCCAGGGCCTCCCTGTGCTGGATGCTGCCCCCGGGCTGCTCCCCCAGCCTGGCGGTGCATACAGCCAGGAGGGAGCCCAGTCCTGGGACAGGTGGGTGCAGGTAAGCAATCAGTGGTCAGCAGTGCGCTCAGGGTAGAGCAGTCGTGGCAGCACCATCAGTGGGTCCAGCTGTCGGCCCCTTCACACCCACCCTTGCAGGCCAGCTCAGCCTCCCACTGGCTCTCTGGAAATGTGGAGGAGTGGACCTCTGTGATGGCCACTGCTCTGGGGACAGGGACAGGTACCTAGTACCTCGCTGCCCAGTGGCTCTGGGAAGCAGGCTGGCTGTGGCCTAAGAGCACTGGTCATGGGTTCAGTGCTGCAGAGGCCCCAGGTGCCACTGACCACAGCGAGGCAGGTGCTGCCCTGCCCCAGGCCTGCAGGCCTTGTGGCCACCAGCACTCAGAGGGAGGCAGGGAGTAAGCCCTGCAGAGGGAGGGCTCGCCAGTGGTGGGCTTCCCACCCCAGGATCCTGCTCCCCAGCCGAGGCCTTGACCTCAGGGCTTTAACCTTCCTGCCTGGGTGGGCAGAGGCCCCAGACAGCCAGTGGGCCTTGCTGGTGGGCTCAGGCCCCGGGCCTCTGGCTGCCTCAGGCAACAGCATCCAGCAGACTGTGCCTTGAGCTCTGGACCCCAGCAGGTGGCCTGGCCAGGCCCAAGGCTGCTGTTAACCCACCGGGAGTCGTACACAGACTGGCATGGCCCCTGGGGGTCTGGGTGTGCCGGGGCCAAGTCTGACTGGCAGCCGTCGGGGGAGGCAGAGGCAGGATGCCAGGGAAGATGGAAGAGAGGTCGGGAACAGACTGGCAGCAACTGGCCGCTCGCCAGGTGGAAGGCTTTTTACCACTTTGACCACATTCAGCTCCTAGAAGTACCCAGACCGGAGCCCAGTGGCCTTCAGAATCTGGAAATGGCGTTTACCAGCGGGTAAACTGAGGCCCCCCCGGGAGGGCGCTGAAGACACCATTCCCAGAAGCCACCAGCAGGTGCAGACCTGAGAGGAGGGCTGCCCACCCTTCCGAGCCCAGTGAGAACAGTGCCCGGGAAGCGCTGCCCCGGGACACTGCATCCCTGGCCAGTAGCTCTACTTGCACCAGCAGAGAGCCAGAATCCAGTCCCAGCCGGTCCACACAGCTGGCAGGAAAGAGAACTGACATACAGAAACCCAGGGCACAGGGACACCAAGGGACGGACTCAGAAGGAGAGGGGCGTGGCAGGGCTGAGTGTCCCCAGGCTTCGCGGGCTGCAGCGCAGTCCCCACTGTGGGGTGTCCGTGCAAGCAACTTACTGTGACTGTGGGTCAAGGCAAAGACAGGGTCAGCAGGATGTGGCCCCAGTTTGGATCCCAGTGGCTTTAGGAGAAGAGGGACAGACCAGATGAGCACCCGGTGTGCACACGTGTTCCCTCTCACCACACGGTGCTCCAGGACCCTGCCCACAGACAGGCACCACCAGAGACAGCCTCTCGACCTTGGGCCAGAACCATGAGCCAAAATAAACTCCACAGCTTCCCAGACTGTGGGCGTGTTACCAGCAACAGAAACAGACACACAGCCTCGGGGGGCAGCAGGCTGCCCAGTCAGCCACAGGCCAGGAGTGGGGGGAGTGCAGCCTGGCCACAGAATGACCTGGAAAGACCCGCAGCCTTGGTTTACCCACCTGATGTTCACCTGTTGGTGGGAAGGGCTGCAGGCTCAGGCCCAGCAGGACCCGGTCAGCGGGGTCAACCAGGATGACAGCTGGGACCACCCTGGGCCCTCAGCACCTGGATGCCCCAGGACAGTGTCCATCCACCCAAGTGTCCCCAGGCCTCATCTGGACCCGAAGCCTGGGTGGGAACACTCAGGAAGGCCCAGCCGGGCTCCGGAACCCTGGGGGCCTCTGCACCCCACAGCTAGGCAGCCCAGGTCCAGCCTCATCTTGCTGACGAATAGTCAACTGGCTCCTGTCCCCTGCCTGTCCCTCCCTCCAGGCCCAACACTGTACCCTGACAGCCCTGGCCAGGGGCATCCCCAGAACCAGGGAAGTATGGGCATTGCAGCCCCAATCGATGCCAAGTCCAGACAGGGACAGGCCCAAGCAGACCCACGCCCACACCCCTGGGCATGCCACCTGGCCCCAGTCTGAAGTTCTGCCCCCTTTGAAAGTCTCTGCAAAGGCCCTTTACAGTAGCTCCACAACCAGGCAAGTCTCAAGGTGCCCGTGAAGGCCTGACCCTCTCCAGGCTCTGCCAGGCAGACTCCCTTCTACCCACCTGTGCCCATCCTCTGTGAGCACCTCGAAATGAAGAGAGGTCACACTGGTGACTCAGGGAAAGCAGATCTGCACAGACTGTCGCCTGACAGCGGGATGGGCTGGCCGGGGCGCTGCAGGCCCTGCACGCCTCCTTCCTGGGCCCGTCCCAGCTGCCTTGATGACCCACTGACTGCCTGTCCCCTTCCCCAGGAGAGCCCAGGCCTGCAGTGAGCCAGGCCAGGGGAGGGCCTGCCGGTGGAAAACCAGATCTCAAGGTGTCCACAAGTGGACCATGTGTGGGGCAAAGCCGGGTCTGTGCCGGTAACTGGAGCAGAACTAGGAGCAGAAGCCAAGTCACCAGACTCCACACACAAGCAGAGCCCACGCTCTGACCAGGGTCCTTGATGTAGGTACCTCGCTGCCCCCAGGGATGGAGTTTGGTTGGCTTCAGCACTGGGGATGGAACCAGGGGTGCTTCACCACTGAGCGGCAACCCCAGCTGTTGTTACTTTTAATTTTGAGACAGGGTCTCCCTCAGTTGTCTAGGCTGGCCTTGGACTTGTGATCCTCCTGCCTGAGCTACTGGGATGGCAGGTGTGCACTGCCACGCCCAGCTGTTTTGTTTTGTTTGTTTGTTTTTGATACTGGGGATTGAACTCAGGGGCACTCAACCACTGAGCCACACCCCCAGCCATTTTTTTGTGTGTGTATAATTTATTTAGAGACAGGATCTCACTGAGTTGCTTAGCACCTCGCCATTGCTGAGGCTGGCTTTGAATTCATGATCCTCCTGCCTCAGCCTCCCGAGCCACTGGGATTACAGGGTGCGCCACTGTGTCTGGCAGAAGTAGTTTTTTTTTTTTTCCCCAGTGGTCCTTTCCCATGGAACCGTTTGGAATGGAACGAGAGTAGCCTGATGTGAGGTGTGGCTGCGTCTCCGGCTTCTCTATGCTCCACTCACAGTGCACCTTCCACCTACTTGGAAGCTGCACCTTCCACCTACTTGGCTCCTTTCAGCGTGGCACTCACCACCTGCACAGCCACCAGGTGGCTGCCAGTTCTAGTCACCTGCTGACCAAGCAGCCTGTGGTCTGCAGGTGGGTCTTTCCAGCAGGGAGCTGCCAGGTCCTGGGCCTCGGCTCAGGCTGAGGAGTGCACAGGACAGAGGCTGTTCCCTTCCCCACACCAGGTATGGCCTTCACTCTCATCCTGTGGCCTCACTTGGCTTTTGTGTTACTGGGGAGAGAATCGGGTGCTTGACTGCTGAGCCACACTCTTAGACCTTTCTAGATTTTTATTTGGAGATAGAGTCTTGCCACACTGCCAGGCTGGTCTTGAGTTGCAATCCTCCTGCCTCAGCCTCTCGGGTTGCTAGGACCACAGGCGTGCACCACTGTGCCTGGCTGGCTTGTTTTTTTCCTGAGCTAATTCCAAAAAACAGTGGTTTACCACAAATCTGACCCAAAATGGGAACATCCTGCCCTACAAGTAGGTGGCCACAAGGAGTTCCCACCCAGAGTGGGCACCGTGGGCACCGATACAGCAGGCTGCCCAAGGCCAGCTCCTGGGAAACGGCGTCCTTCAGGTGGCCTCAGCGTGGTCCTCAGGGAGACATCTCACATCCCCGAAGACCTGGAAGGGGAACTTAGACGTTAAAAGGACTGTCTGCTTGAAGACCGCTAGTACCCTCAGTGCCGCGGACTCCCTTCTCCCCAGCACTCCTCTCTTGGGAAGCAAGCTTCCGAGCCTAAGATTGGTAACAAAGACTTATACAGCCCCTTGGGCACAGTGATCACACCTGTCTTCCCAGCTACTTGGGAGGCTGAGGCAGGAGGATCCCAAATTCAATGCCAGCCTCAGCAACTTAGTGAGGTTTTAAGTAAATTAGTGAGACCCTGTCTCTAAATAAAAAGAAAAATGGGCTGGGGATGTCGTTCAGTGGTTGAGTGCTCCTGGGTTCAATCCCTGGTACCTAAAAAACACACAGTCCACATAAAACATTGCCCGAAAAAGTTGTTCAAGGAAAGAAACTGACGATTCCAGGAAGAATACAAAGATGTAATAAGGAAACAGTAGATGACCAAACTTGTACATGATCAGAAGTCCATGCCCACCCACCATTCAAACCAGCAAAGGGTCAGGAAGTCACATGCTCAGAATCCTGGGGCTGCGGAGGTGAAGGGCCTTTGCTAGCTATGCTTTCTCACCCCAGAGCTCTACTTTGACTCCCACCAAAGGAAGAAGTGTAAACTCCAGCAAATTCAGACAGACCCAGGCCAGTTTGCCATGGCGTCTCTCCAAGGTGCAAGGACTCGCAGAGCCTCCTTTCGAGGGGGAAATGAGCGTCACCTGGGAGCATCTGGGGACAAATGCTGTCAACATGCAGAGGGTAGGCGCACACATGGGGTCTGGGTCTCCCGGGCCTCTGGGTCTGTGTGTGGGCAGCAGAGCCAGGGCACTGCGCAGACCCTGCCCAGGAGGGAAGCTGCCCAGGCTCCCTGACATTGTTCAAAGTCAGTAAAATGCAACATCCCACGTGAAATGTAAAAATCTCTACAATATTGTTATAAATTTGCTTTTGAAATGACCAGGTACAGCCAGCTTGCTGAATAAAGCCGGGACAG